CGGTTTACCGGTTTTATTACTTACCTGTTTCACTAAAGTCCCATTATTTTATCCTAATTTGCAAATAAGTCCCAAAATAAAATTTACTGATGATTTGGCCCTTTTCTTCATGTACAGGCTCGGCTTTACATATATACTAAGTAAGCAAGGGCTTAGGGCCCCATTTTTAAGGGGCCCCTTAACCCAAAAAGTCCATTAATTAATTTTAGTGTTGATTTTGGATTCTCTCACCCTATGCATACGCACGAATGCACGATGCACAATTGAATCATTGAAACTGAGATACCCTTTTGCCAAACGACTCTTCTTCTTCTCATGAAGTCGTGATCTCGTCTTCTTCATTCTTCTTCTTCCTGGCGTCTCTCTATGAAGTTTGATCATTTGGATTGTTCAAAAATCAAAAAATCGATTCTTGAATCTTGATTGTTCAAAAAATCGATTCTTGAATCTTGATTGTTCAAACGGTATTGTTCTTCTCTCTGATTCTCTATCAATTTAAAAATCAAACTCCATTGATGATTCTTCGTTCTTCTTTCTTGATTAGGCTATCTATTAGGGTTAATACTTAATAGGGCTTAATTTTTTTTAACCTTCACTGTGTGAAGTTTGATTTTGGAATAGGTTTAGATTTTGGATATTGGAAGGAACGATTTTGCCATTTTGGTTGGAACGGATTTTAGTTTTGCAATTCCATATTTCCATCTCAGTTTTGTCAAGGAGTCAAGCCTTCAAGGTCACTTTGCCAAGCTGGTAAAGTATGTATTTTCTATCTATAAATCTATAATTCATTACTATTTACTTTCTGTTTACTTTTTATTGTTTTAGTGATAGTTATTGTTAATTAATTTATCAATAATCATGTCTAAAAGAAAATATGAATCTGGGGCTTTAAAAAGAAAAACGAAAAATGCAACAACGGCCCCAATTTTTGGTCCGCTTAAAGCCTCCAAACTGGTTGAGTCGGCCCTGTTCATGTAACATACATTTTATCGGTTTCATTACTGACTTAGACACCTAGTCATTAAATTAGTTGATAAGATGAATATGATGGGTTATATAATGCCACATTTACTATAAGATTTGATACTCATCTCATCGGTTCATTTATGACTATGTATCTACGTCAGCAATGAAACCAATAAAATGTGTGTTTCCAAGAAAAAATGACAGAAAATGAGTTGACGTCTGAAGAGATGGATATATTGGTTTACATAAGATTAAAATAGACAATTTGATATTTCTTATAAACGTAAAAAATAATGCAGTTGTTGTTAGTTTATGTAATTATTGTAGTCTTCGTTGGATGCATTTTATGTTCCAAAAAGATATACAATATATCAAGATATCAAGTTTTATGTTAAACATAGCATTATATAACTCAACATATACATCTCATCATCTCATTTAATGACTAGGCGTCCGGGTCAGCAATGAAACCGGTAAAATGTATGTTACATAGAGAAAATGGTCAAATCATCAGTAAATTTTATTTTGGGACTTATTCGCAAATTAGGGTAAAATAATGGGACTTTAGTGAAACAGATAAGTAATAAAACCGGTAACCGGAAAAAGGGGGTCAAATCGTCATTTTTACCGGTAATTCATGCTTTTTCGTAAACAAAATTTAGTTTAGGACTTTTTCGTAAATTAGGGTAAAATTTTAGGACTTTTCTATAAAAGTATGGTATGAAATTGAATTTTTTTACACTATTGTTAAATTGTATATTTTGTAAAAGTATGGTATGAAATTGATTTTTTTAATTAAGTTGTTACAAGTAATTTTTTGATATAGATGCGGCTTAGGAATATATTATAATATGTGTCGTTTTTTTACTAAAAAGTATGGTATGAAATTACTTTTTTTTAATTAAGTTGTTATAAGTAACATATATGATATGGATGTAGTTTGGAAATATCTATTATAATAAATAAATAAATAATTGTCATATATCATATTTTTATTCATTTTGTCATATGTTATTTTGTGGTTAATTTAAATTAACTTTTATTCAACATGTCATTTTATAGTTTTTTTTCTATGTTATTAAATTCCAATAGTATTTAAATATAAAAAATAAATACATATAAATCTCATTAATGGACTTTCTTTTTAATTTCAAAATTCCTTAATTAAAGTCTCATTAGTTTCCTTTATTTTTTTATTTAAATTATTTGTTTAAATTTAAAAAGGAAAAAAACAGTTTAATTTTAATAATTCAATATTTTTCTTATTTGTCTTATAAATTCAAAGTTCTTAAATGTTTAAAATTTTATATTTAATTTTTTTTTAAATAAACCAATGTAATACATAGGTCTTACACCTAGTATTATAATATGCATCGTTGTTTTTTACTAGAAAAATCTTTAAGAAAATATTTTATAATGATATACATTATGTAAATTGGTTTTTAATTTTTATATTTAATAATTGTTACATGTTATATGTAAAATCACATCTCCAGGTTCAAGATTTATCAACACCAAGTTTGATGAGTCATTAAAAAAAATAGTAAATTGAATTGTTTATACGGTTCACGTAGTACTCGTTACAAAGCCCATGTAAAGGTAAATCGTCAATATTAGTGATATTTTGGACATATCGTGGCTTAAGTAATAGACCTTACGTATAAAATTTTGTACCTCAACTACTAGATTTTTATCGCACGATAAAACATTGGTAAGTCATTAGTCATCGTAACGAAATAATTGACTTTGCAAGATAGTTGGAGCTCCAATCACCATAGTTTAGTTTATATTTGAAATGTAAACAAATTAAATGTATCAAAATTAGTTAGTGTGTGATTCACATTAGTGCAGTGGCGGCCAGAACAAAATGTCAGAGGTAGCACATGTAAATTTTAAAGGCAGAACACCGGAAAATTACATCACATCAAAAAATTTCTCAAAAAATTTTCACTACCCCTAAAAATTTGAGGGGTAACACGGACTACCCCGGCTCCTTATTAGATCCGCCCATGCATTGTTGTCCGATTCACATCATTTTAATAGTTGTATAAAGACAATTTTAAGCATACGTATATGTAAATATATTCAAAAAATTAGCCAAATTTAAAGAGAGATGAACGGTCTTTTAATGGAGTCGAAATATAGAACCCCATGATAATACCCAAAACACCTAAGAGCCAAACATCTTAACTAGGGATGAGCAAAGGAACCAACCCGGCTGGAACCGGCCCGAACCGGACCCGGCCTGGGAACCGAAGTCGGCCGAAATTAAGAACCGAACCGGACCGCCGGTTCGACCGGTTCCCGGTTCCTACCGATTCTTGTCGTGTCTTCAATGTTGGAACCGATCCTCGATAAATAGCAACATACGGTTCCGGTTTTTTCCGGTTCTACCGGTTTTTGCCGGTTCCAAAAATCCACAAGAATATCGTCTCGGTCCTGGCCCGATCGGTTCTATCTGGTTCCGATTCCGGTTCCGGTACCGATTCCGGCCGGTTCCCCGGTCCAAATGCTAATCCCTAATCTTAACAAATTTAGATGTATATGATTTTGTTTACATTTAAAAAAATACTTATTTCATGGTTTTTCATTAAACTAAAACTATTTTTTGTAAAATGTCATTTTCATAAAAAGATTGTCATTTTCCGGTGGGGTGGGGATGGGGAAGGGGTTAAAGTTCATCAAAATTTATCAATAGGTTTTTTGCACTGTAGCACACCAAAGTTTGAAAATTTTACACATTTGGTCACTCAAGTATTTTTTTGTGCCTAATAGACCATTAAAATTGAATTTTACCTACCAATTACACCATTATATGACCTGATATAGGAACGATTACTTGAGTGACTAAATGTGTAAATAAACCGGTTACTTGAGTGACTAAATGTGTAAATTTGTCAAACTTTGTTGTGTTCCAGTGCCAAAAACCTCATATGGGTTTTGCAATTTCCCCCAAACCCTTACTTAGTCGGTATTTGCAAACGTTAAGGACCAATTGAGCACAAAAAATACTTGAGTGACTAAATATGTAAATTCGTCAAACTTTGTTGTGCTACAATGCCAAAAACTCTTTTATCAATCATTCAGTGTAATAATAAAGTTCACAAAACATAGTGTAGGAAAAAATAATTTTGTAGATTACAAAACCTTTGTGATAAATATTGAAAAAACTTATCATTTTATGTTTTTCTCTTACATCTTTTAGGTCATTTTTTTGGATTAAAAGGTTCATGTAAATACATAAACTTCATAAACAAATGGCGTATGGGTCAGGTACATAAGAGCGCTACAGGGATTGACCATATACCGACGACTTTTACAACCCCTATGCCAATGACAGGTCGTGAGGAAAGCCTATATTGATGACAAGTCATCGGCGGAAGTGCAAATAGTCATCGGGATAGATACCCCTTATACCAACGACAAATCGTCTGCAGAGGCTCTATCGAAACTGATTTTCGAGAAAAAAAAATAAAGTTTTATTATTTACTTTTACCGACGACATGTCGTCTTTACACAACCTGTAGAGACGACTTTTCGTCGGTATAGGTCAAAACCGCTTTTATCATTTGAGATATAGCGACGACTTGTCGTTGGTATAGGTGAAAACCGGTTTTACAGTTGAGACTTAAGACCTATGCGGACTATGTGAGAACCGGCTATTCTCCTGAAAAATTAGACATTATGAGAAAATGATAAAGCTTTAAAACAAAATCCTAATAACTTAATGAAAAAAGTTATATCAAGTGAAATAAATCTCAAACAACCAACCTTATACAACTTATCAAAAAGTATTGGACATTAGAGATTAGATGAATCAACCTTCACTGAAAATCAAGCCAGTGAGGTGTGTATATATATATATATATATATATATATATATATATATATATATATATATATATATATTATATATATATATATATATATATATATCCCACTGTTACATTTGGCAATGAAAATGAACATCATGATTATGATTGGTGGGAGTAAAGAGAAAGAAAGTGACATCTTTTATTCAAGTGTAAAAGTAAACAGGATCAAGAGCAAAAATCAGAATTTACACGAGAAGACACAATTTTCATGTCTCTCTTCACTGCAGAACAAAAGTTGCAAAAGAAGGCCATAAATTGAATAAATAACATGAACATCTTCAGCAGCAATGTAAGAAAACCCCTCCGGCATCAGGCATCAGTTTGGGTTTGTGGTTTTATGGTGGTAGGCTTGACTACAATGCAGGTGATATTATCACAACTGCCACGGGTAAAAGCAGCCTCGGTCAGCTTTTGAGCTGCTGCCTCTGGTTCTTCTTCAGTCTGTGCAAGTGACACAGCATCCTGATGATGCAAAATTTCACAATCAAGCTTACTTCTTCAACAAACATTATATATGTATATATATACTACCTCATTGGGTACAACGTCCCAGAGACCATCACTTGCAAGAACCAGCAGTTCAAATGCTTCATTCAGCTCTTGTTCCTGCAAAAGAGAAAAATGTAGGTAAGTTTAACAGAGAATCTAATATTAAGGTAACTAACAGGAAATTAACGACAACCTGGATTTCTGGTTCAGCCACCACATATTGCTTCAGCATACGGTTTCCAAATGCACGAGACATTGCCAATACGCCTCCAACCCTCCATGTGCCTTGAACAAAAAGACAAATATTTGAATATTAGATATCAAAACATCTTAATTAAATACTACTCCTATTACTATTAATTAAGTTATCCATTCCAGTCACCACTTTACCTGCCCACATGACAACCCCACCAGCACTTTCAATTCGCATCCGCTCATCACTTCTGTTTGGTTTGTGATCCTCAGAGAGGGCGATGGCTGCAGTCATTATCAACAACTCAAACAACAATCTTGTCAGCGACACTGTTTGATAGGAAATTCTTACCTTTGCCCTCATTGGATATTACAGTCCGGGAATCTCCAACATTAGCAACATACAGATAATTTCCTACCAAAACTGCTGTGGAAGCAGTAGAACCATCATCGCGAAAATTATCCTTTTCGGACTCCAAAAAGTCTTTGTCGGTTTGCTGATAAGTCTCACCTGTCACGTTATTCAAATTCTTGGATTAAAAATTCATGTTGGATAAAAAGAGACATCACAAGTGAACTCACTAATAGCCACTTTTGTGTTTGTTATAAACTCTGGATGCTTCATGAGGTTCTTAAACAGATTTTCCTTTAAATATTGAGATGCACGCGAACCACCATGACCTACAAATCCATCAAACATTCATTCATTTTAAAATTTAAATCTGCAAATCGCAACTGAATAAATGTTAAAAATTAGCTGATGGGAAAGAATATAACCGTCAAATATCCCAAAGAGGCAGACCATTTTCCCATCGATCTTGCATGTTTTGATGTCATAAAAATCCTCCATGCTAGGTCTTTTACCTCTGAAACTTGAATAACCGCAGCTCAATTTTTCCATCTTCACTGCCAATATATATTGAACACAATACTTGTTAGCTTTAATACATAATTATATGACATGTTTGTATATGAACAATGAATAAGAGAATTAATTAATTAATTACCTCTTCCAACCTCCACTTGTATATGAACCATCACTATCCTTCTCTGTCAAAGCATCAGCAATCAAACCCCGACTCCCGGTTGCACCTGCAGCCATCATCCTTTTCCCAGTTGTCAACCACTTGTGATCAGAAGAAAATGCCACTAAAGGAATGGTCTTCAGACTTCTCTTCAATTTTGCAAACTGCAACAACCCTTCCACAGGTTTCCCAATATGCCCTCCTTGCAGAATCAATGTCCTCAGGTAACTGCTGCATATCATCTAAGAATCCACAACCTGGCTTGGCCCTGTATGCCAAACCAACAAATTTCCTGCTAATGTCACAGATTTCATCATATTTCTAAACAATCAGGGGCGTAAGATGACTACCAACATACATAGAAACTCATATATTTACGCTTTTGAATAGCAATATATACCAATGTGTTGTAATATGATTCCCTTCGTTCATGTTATGTGGGATGATGTAGGTGGATATAGACGTTTAGAAACAAAAATGTCTCAATACCAGGTTCCTCTTTCTCCATCAAACGTGCTTTAGAGTAGACACATAGATTACAAACCATCAACCATGTTATGTATTCTGTAGCAACGTTCTCAAACAACCAATCTCCCCAAATTAAACTATTTATTCATATAAGATGATTTTAAAAATTATAAATCATAAACGGACAAATTTGGAGGCGTGAGAATAATTTACTGGAAACTAGATGCAATCATAATGGTCATATATATAATAATAAATTCGAGTGAAATGGAATCAATTGCTATGAATTTCAATACCAAAATCCTCAATTTCACTCCCTAACGTGATGATGATAAACATGAAAACAAACAAAGAGGAAATCTTACTTTTAGATTGATCGGTTTTCAACGATAAGCACCAATCTTTGCAAAAAGAATCAACCAATTGGTGATTATCCAAGAATATCTTGATATACGGATGCGTCCCCTCAACAACAATCTCTTATAAAATTTTCCACAAAAATATAAAAATTAATTATAGAGAAACCTGGAATCCTCAATAAAAAAGAAGAAGAGAGGAAGACTAATTCCAAATGGTGGAATCGGAAACACTACAAATTAAGCGGTAATTCAATGGCATTTGTTCCAAGAAAATTGAAGGTGAATAATCCTAAAAGAGTTTTCTTACAAAAATATAAATAAAAATAAAACGTGGCTGTGGGATTAAACCAAGAGAATTGTAACCGTGTGTCTAAGTATTTTTACCCAAAACAAAACTCAAATAAAATAAACAAATTAGTTGTAAGGCCCCCACCAAATTTCTCTTTATTTTATTGGATCGATATCGACTTTAGTTTAGGAAAGAAAAACGGAGAGTTGCAAAACGAGAGGCGACTGGTTCAAGAATCAGAAGAGAAAGAACAATACAAAATTTGATGTGCACGTGCGACTGGTTGTGTGAGAAAAAAGTTTTGTTATGGCCTTGCCATTACCTGCTGGCTCACCTCTAAAATGCGCCTTCACATACATGTATATAAAATTATAAAACATTAAATCCTGAGATGCACCCACAGTTACCGGACCGGAGAACTGGACAGTAACGCAAGCATGGTGTGGTTTTTGGCCAAAACGAACCACACAAACCGTAAATACAGTTTTGATAATTACATAAATCGAGCAGTGCGTTTTTTCAGTTTTTTGATGAGGCGTGGTTTTTACGGTTGAGGTTCGGTTTAAACTGCATAACTTGTTGCGTTTTTTTTTTTTTTACACAGTTTTATTCCGCATAACTTTGGTGCGGGTTTTCACCTTACTTGCGAGTTTAATACCCAACTTTACATCTTCATGAAATATATATACATGCATATAAATTTTTCACAAGATATGTGTGTTCGAATGAGTAGACTCGAATGTATCTAATCTTTCCAAGCATTTCATATGTGAAGTTAGATTACAGTTTTCCATTTGATGAAAAAAAATTGTTAAAATCCGAAAGTAATATGTAAAGTTGAAGTTCTCTTTTAATCCTGTTTCCAACTTTCAAAATTTTCCTTTAAATAATAAAATATTATTAACTAAATAACTATTATTATATATAAAAAACAAATCTTCATAAATAGTCAAGGTTCTAAAAAGCTCGCCACGGCTCCGTCATGGCGCGCCATGACTCTAAGGCTTGTGTCTGCCGCCAAGCTTTGCCAAAACGCCGCCTTAACTCATATATGTGTATAAAATAGAATAATAGTTGAAAATACATATAAAAATATTAAATATATACAAAATTGTCGTCTTAAGTCACGCCTTACAAACGACATGGCTCGCCAAGGCTCGGAAAAGCTTGAGGCTTGACATTGCCGCCAAGTCACGCCTTATGTAATTTAGAACCATGTAAATAGTTCATGTTTTTTAGAATATCAAATTTAGTTTCTAACATTTTCGTTCTGATCTATGCGGTATCAAATTTTATCGTATAAAATGATTTTTATATCTTTTTAAATTATTTTGTATTTTTTTAATATTTAAAAAAAATAAAAAAGAAAATAAATAACACCGACTATCTTCTTCCCACCTCACCCCCACATGATATACTGATCTCTACCTCCCCCCCCCCCCCCTTTCTCTCTTTCTCACTAAAATTTGAACTTAGTTCAACCCTAATATAAAAGTTGATCAACCAGTTTGCTATCAATGTTAAGAGAGCTTCGCATTTTGTCCGTTAGTTGTTACGATATGTAATTACTCATTAAAATATTATGATTTTGATATGTTTATTACTATAAAGTTTATCATTGTTAAAATAAAAAATAAAAAAAAATCTTTAGTTTATATAATTTGATTTGTTACACGTTAGGGCCTAAGGGCTTTTTTTTCTGGCTCGTCTTGGGCATTTAAATCCCCATGATCGGCCCTGGTCCCCCTTTAACCCTCCCATTTACCTGCCTCCTTATACCACAAATCGCAACTATCCGTCTTTCTCACCTTTTACTCCAATCGCTCTCATTCGCCACCACCACCAACATCGCCGCCATCGGTATTTATATCGATTTAGGCACACCAGCTTCCCAAACCACCGTCATCATCACTTTCCACTAAACCAAAATCCTAGAACTTTGCAAGGGTTTGTCCACAACATATTAAACCTAAAACATATGGATTTGTGTATAAGTTCCCGTCGATTGGATTACATGCTTTGAAACGACTACCGAGTTTGTATTTGAGGCTCAAAACAGCCAACAGATTCCTAATAAAGCAGGTTGGTTTATTTTTTTCTCTCGTCAATGATGCTTTGCTTATAAAATTGGTACCGATAGGGATGGTGATCAGAAATGGTCGATATCCCACCATCGGGAGAAGGTTAAGAACATAGAAGAGTCTCTACAACCGCCGTGAACCACCACCACTCACCCTCGTCGGTCCTCGACCTCACTCACCATAAACCATTGGTTAATGGAGCAGAAATTGAATGAAGGGTGTTGCATTAATTTTACAGGTAGTGGATGGGAGGTGTGCGACAACGTACAACGACCTCCGATAACAACGTCAAGATAGTGGCAACGAGTTTAGGAGGCTATTATTGTGCTTTGTTTAGCTGTCGGGTGGGGTATGGGTATGATAGTCTTTTTACATCACTCGGAAACCAACCACCCAACAAAATCATGTCATAGGGATGGCCTCAATTAAAAAAAGATAAGTTGATGACCAAACGCACAAGTTATCCTAAACCAGAGGGGGCCATACGTGCAATTTACTCTTACATTTAAATATTATTATCATCAATAGAACTAAAATTACTATAATACAAAAAATAAAAGACGATGATTTATTTATTTTCCTTAACCATATTTTAAGTTTCAAAGATAATTATGTCTTTTAAACAATAATAATAATAATAATAATAATATATAGATATTGGAATTACATTCCTTTCCTACTAATTTCCAACTAATTAGGAATAATAAAACTAGAAAAGGACACGCGGCTCCGCCGCTTTTGGACTATGTCATAGAAGTTAAATATCAGCAAACTTTAAAAGATGTGTCGAAAGTGTAAATCGCCACAAATAAAGGAGAAAACCGACAACCCCTAAAATTAGATGTCAAAAATGTAGAACCAAAAGAAAGAACATTGATGGAAAAAAACGAAAATTGTTGTGACTATAATGTGAAAGTTGCCAAAGTTGGAAAAATATGGTGGCAAAAGTCTAAAGGAGGTTTTTTGTGTTTTTTATGTCAAAATGTAAATGTTTTGACTGCAAGGTTGAAAAGTGTCAAAGTCACTAAAAATTTGTGGCAAATACATCAAAATATAAAAGATTTGACTGCAAGGACGAAAAGTGTCAAAATCACTAAAGATTTGTGGCAAAAATCTAAAAGGCACAAAAACTTAATCAAAACTTAAAAATGTAAAAGTTTTCACTTCGATGACTAAAAATGTCAAATTCATCAAACATTTGTGACAAAAACCTAAAGCTAAAAAGATTAATAAGTTCCCTTGGATTTTATATATATATATATAATATATATATATATATATATATATATATATATATATATATATATATATATATATATATATATATTATATATATATATATATATAATTATAAGTAAATTACATCAATGGTCCATGTGGGTTTGGGAGGCTACGTTTAATCTCCAAATTTTTATTTTTTATTTTGGCCGGTCCTTATAGTATGGGTTTATTTCGATTTTGGTCCTTAACTGAAGACTATTTTACCTTTGTTGAGTTCTTTTATCTTTTCTATATTATTAACCTATTAAAAATATTACTAAAATATATAGTCCCTTATCCCTCCCCCCCTCCTATTTTTTTTTACACACCGCCGCTACCCATCCCCCTTCTTCCTTTCTCACCAACACCACCACACACCCCTATTTCTTTTGATAACAAAAAAGTCAAATGATAGATTTTTTTTTCTAAATTCTTTTTGAATTTAGCGCGAAAACCAAAAGTTGTTTTTGAAAAGTGTTTGGATAGTATTTCTTGACTTTTGAATGTAATTTAGTTTTAAAAATGCTAAAAGTCACAAAAAAATCACACTTTCCTGACTTTTGAAAACTCACATTTTTTATTCCTTACAAAAGTTATTTTGAAAAGAACTTTAATATCTCCCAAACATCTTTTTGACTTTTTAGAAAAGTTAAAAGGCAAAAATCATTTCAAAAGTAATCTCAAACACTCTCTAAGTTCATGTTTAGCAAAAATAAGTGATGTGTAACTTTTATTTGTTATAAGTTAATGTGTAACAAAAATAGGTAAAGGTGTACATTTTATTTGTATTGTTATGTTCGGTAAAATTAGATTGAAGCTTTTAAAATATATATATAAAACTACATAAAATAATGTGTGTTTACATCAAAAAGATAAATATGTAAGTTATAATTTTCATATTAACAAAACAAAATTGTTATATTATCTAAGAGTTTTTCTTAAACGTAACTTCAATTAACTTTACAAATAGGAGTAATTTTTGTTTTTATTTGAGCATCCAAATCGAGTGATGTCGGGTTAGCATGTTTTGATGTATATTTACATTTTGTTTTAGAAGTAAACATATTTAATATATAAAATCAAAAACATGACGACCCTCCCCACAGCTCCCATCATTCAGCTTCATCTTCATCACCCTTCCTGTGCATCGGCAAAATCGAAGATGATGATGGATTGGATTGAAAACTTGTGATGAAATTACCAAACATTAAAAAGTGTGATGGAAGCCACACTAATGCATACCACATAGGCATAAGCCTTTCCTGGTCTCGATGGTCAAATGAAAACGAAAATTACAAGATGACACAAATACAACTTACATAACTTAATGAGCAAACTGGTCATTATGAGTTGCCTAAATATGACATGTGCCTTTCTTAATATATTGTGTATTGATTAAGAAAAAAAAAATTACAATACTAATAAAACACAAATAAATTAAAGGAAGCTACTTGTTGTATTTAGACCTTACTGACGTAACCCAACTACCAACTTTCGGCACTATGTCATATTGAGTGAACCTTTGCTCTGATGCCCTTTAGTAAATCGTCATATTCAAGGAACTTCAATCTTAGAATCTATTATCCTCTCAAACTATAGAAACTAATAAATGAAAAAAAACTAGACAGAAATTTTTTACAAAGTAGAGAGTTCTTCAACTTTGTACTAAACAAG